ATGCGAATCTTCTTCCCCGCTGCGTAACATGAAAGAAACGAGACCACGGCGGAGCCTTTGTTTTGCTCGGGAATCACCCGCCATGACCCCCAAAGGATGCATCATGTGCTCGCTGGGACCGCTGCCGCGCCACGGTGGGCCAGAAGACCCGTGGAGGCGGCAAAAACTCTAGACGCGTTTTGAGCTCCAGAGTCGCTGAACAGGACTCGAACCGAACGTGTGACCCACCAATGGATTCCTCGTTCGGAGAGCAACCCATTGGTGTGGTCACACGTTCGGTTCGAACTACTCTGGCGCTACTCTGGAGCTCAAAACGCGTCTAGAGTTTTGGTAGCCTCCACTGGTCTTCTGGCCCACTGCCTGGGCCCTGCCTCGGCCCTGCCGACGGTAACGCACCCACGCACCGGTATGCGAACTGGCCAACATTCAGACCGCATCATCAGTTACCTCGCTAGCGCGGCCGGGCCGTAGACAATTAAGACCTGCAGGCCATCCAGGGCGCCCCACACTGTCTCTCTCGTGCGCACAGACGGCCCGCCCCGTGAGTGCGAGAGAGACAGCTAGCGACGAGAGCGCAAGTTCGGAACGAGCCTGCATGCCTGCAGCGCACTGCCTTGTTTGGACGTGCAATGGGCCTTTTAGTTCGGTCGCGATCTTGTAGGCTGGTTGTCCCGGCAGACAGGCACTTTCGACAAGCTTCGGAGCCGCTGTGTTAATGAGGAGGACATCAGGTAAACGAAGGGAGTGTTCGATTCGCGTTATGCACCGCGTAATCCGACAACAACAAAACGGATTTTCCTTTTTTTTCAGTGATTGATCAGCCCCGAGGAATGCGACCCTCTTTTTCTCGCCCGCTTATTCGCTGTTGACCAAAACACCGCCGTTTTGACTGACAGGCCAATCTCCGCGGGCTTTCTTATCGACTCGTCCCTTTTTTTTCGATCACTCGTCGTGAGCAGGCGGGTGACTTTTGTGCATTCGCCCGACGACGTGTCACAACCACTTCGGCCCTGCGTCCTAATCCCGAAACTACTCGTCTGCAGCGAAAAAAAAGTAGCAGGAAACAGGAACAGCAACAACAACAACATGAACGGATCTGGTCCCGGCGGCGTGTTACGCGCGGCTCGTCTTAATGTTATGTAGACCGGGCCTAACGGAGCCTGGCCTGGCCGGCCTGGCCGGCCGGTGTGGTCACAGCGCGGTCAGCCCTCAATGAGCAGGGCAATACTCCCAGCCAGGCGCCCCCCCCCCCTTCCACACCTTTCCCCCTCTTCCCCCCCTCCCCCCTTCCCCTTCGGTCGGGTTTTGTTTAATGCGCTGCATCCTCCATCAAGTGTCTTTGCTTTGCAATCGGCCATGCACCACCCGCGCGCCGGCCAGCAATCCGCTTGAATTATCCCTCGACGGTAAAAGTGGCTGGCTATCGACGACGACTCTCTGCTCGGTTTCTGGCTGCACCTCGTCGGGGAAAGACACGTCGCCTCCTGACACAGACTGTACGTATTTTAAATATTTTGAATGTTTTTGATTGAAAGAGTTACACGGTGCTATTTCATAAAATCACCTTTGTTTTCAGAAAGGGGAAACAACTTGAATTTTGGTGTATGTTTCCCTTGTAATAAACACACTTAATGTTTTGGTAGAATTTTGTACGTGCCACTTGCACGATTTTGTGCATACGTGGAGTTTGCATAATATCATGCGTAAGGACGCATAAATTTATGCAAATTCACGCACAATTTTATGCACGACGGCACACAAGTTTAAAATTATGCATCACCACGTACAAAATTGTACATAAATATTTAGTGTGAAGTGAAGTAACGATGAAATGACGTCGAAAAACGTTGAAATAACGTCAATGTTGAAATAACGGTGCGCCAAATTCTTCAAAGTTTTTAGCCTTTCGATTTTTTGTCACTTTGATTCAATATCTATACAGTGTTGCATGAAATAGATACGTGTGTCAGTGTGTAAACAAAAGCTACCGCAAGCATTCGCCGTTTCTGCACCTTTTTCGGGGCCACCTGCAGTTACTTCTCTGCCCTCGTGAAAATGACCGGCAGCGCATTTCATCCGCATTCTACGGGCGCAGCTTCCGAGCCAAGGAATAGTCGCGCGCGAAGTCGAAATGGCGAGCATAAAAAAAGAGCGGGGAGCCGCGGCGGCGCGGTAAAACCCGAAATAAGGCGTAGCTGTTCCACGCGTGCTTACACTGTGTACGTGCGGCCGCGTAACGGGCGCCGCCGATTATTAACATACGTGCAGGGCGGCCAGGGCGGCCAGGGCGGCCAGGGCAGCCAGGGCCTTGGCCAGGGCTGCGTCGCTCTGTCTCACTCGCACCCCCACGGCACGACCCGGGAGTGCGAGAGAGACGGGGCAGCGAGCCCGCAGGGCGGCGGCGGCAGCGCGGCGATGAGCCTCCCGGTGGGAAAGTCTCGCAATGAAGGCAAATCCACACACTGCACTCGCACAGTGTGTGTGGAAAGGGGCGGGGCTGCGGTGGCCAAGCAAATAATAGCAGAGAGGGGCAACAGTTCACAATTTAGGGTTTTAGCCGCCTGCGCCAGTCTTCGCCGCGCGTGCAGAACTAGAGGGATGACACTTGAAAAGCCGGCGGCGTGACGCTGGGCTGGGCGGGCTGCACTGTAAGATCTCCAGGCCGGACGCGCTCCGCTGCGCCCGGCAGACCCACCGCGCGCGCCGCGGCGGCGCTGGATGGGTGGCCTAGCCTCCGGGCGGGCCGCCCCAGTCACCCCGCAGCCCGGAGAGGCGGAGAGCGTTCACCTCGCCGTGGCGATACCCCGCGCCCTCGGGACAGGCCGGCCGGCCGACGCGGGTGAGGACACAAAACTGCACAAATCACCGCCGAGGAGAGAGAGAGACAGAGAAAGGGGGAGGGGGAGCAGGACGGACGCGCGGCACAAGAGAACAACGTCGAGGCAAATCGCTTCTACGAAGGGCGGCCGGCCTTGTTAGGTCTATGTCGATCCGACTGGCCGTGCCTGGCCGTGCCTGGCCCTGCCGTGATGTTGATATCGCCCGAGTCCCACGGCCACGCCACGGCCACGCCACGGCCACGCCACGGCCACGCCACGGCCACGCCACGGCCACGCCACGGCCACGCCACGGCCACGCCACGGCCACGCCACGGCCACGCCACGGCCACGCCACGGCCACACCACGGCCACACCACGGCCACACCACGGCCGCGGACAAAGGACGCGCTGCTGATGAACGGCAAATTGCAGCAACATTTACCTGCACTCGCGCGGACGGAGGGACTGCCTTACATTTTCAGGAATGAATCTTGTTATTTCCGCTCGGGATTAGTATACATTCTTCCGACCCCTCTTTTTGTTTTGCCCCAGCAGGTTACCGCAGCTCGGACCGCGTTCGTTTTTAAGTGAATGTTTTTGCTCGTCAGAAAATTGAAGGAGCTTTCCAATAATATCGTTTCTGGAAAAGCCAGCGCGGCGAGCGGGCGGGGACGCATTCCACGGGGCTAACTGCCGCCCTGACAACAAACATTTCCTTTTTATTTCAGAAACATTTTACGGCAGTGATGCTTTACTGGATCTCGGCGATTCGTCAGATTTACCGTCCATTCGCGTCCCGCTTTTGTTCTGCCTAATGACAGCCCTCCGTGGCCTGCGGGCTGCAGAGTCGTCGTCTTCGTCGCTCCGTCTCTCTCGCACCCGTAAAGACGCCCCACGAGTGCGAGAGAGACGGGGCGACGAAGACGACTCTCAGGCTGCTGTAGGCCTCGGTCTCGGTGCAGGCCTCGGACACCGCCGCGGCCGGGGCGGGAGACCAGACCGCTCAACCTTAACTTGACGGACCACCGTCCCGGTGCGCCGCCTTGGCGCTGCCTTGCTCATCTCACAGGCTGGGCGCGCAGCATTCGCACGCCACGCCCGTGGAACTCACTCAAACTACACTGTCATTCAGGGTCCGAAGGTTAGCGGCTTAAGGCACTTGTCCTAGGTTTTGTGCTACCGCCTTTAGGCCCTTACTAGGAGGCGATACTACAGGTGCCTTACTCCGAGACGCCTTGGCAGGATTAGAGACACTTGGTCCAGCTCACTGGATGAAACGAGGCTCAAATTGTTGCCCAGGTGAGAGGTGTTTGAACACCAAGTACCTTTCCAATGCAGTGTGAACTATGCCGCCACCCTGCGAATTATGAATACGCAAAGGTGTATGGACAGAAAACACCTTGTACTGCCTACACCTTGTGAGTAAGGGAGGGTGGGGCAAATAGTGACAGATAATTTCTTTTCGGTCCTGTAGGCGTCTTAATGGATATTTTCTCATGTAAAAAAAATTAAACTTAAGTATGGTATTACTTTAGTAAAAAAATGTAGCATTCCAGTTGCCTGAGTCACACAAAACCCTTCCAAAAGCTTTTCTGATAAACCTTGCAACTGTCACTATTTACCCCACCCTGGGGTAAAGAGTGACAGCTTGGGGGCACATAGTGACACTATCAATTTCCTTTGTTAAACCTCCCTCCTGGGCATCACAAAATAGTGATAAAATGTTAATTAGTGTTTTCTAAAAATTTTTACAGTGCCAAATCAAAATTAAGAGGAAAAACTCAATATTTTACTATTATAGAGGATACAGATATTTAGGGGTTTCCAAATTGCAATAGCTAAGAAAATTACAACAGTTTTAAAGATGGAGATTTATTTCACAAAAATAAAAATGAAAACTAAAAGTAACAATCAATACTATCACATTGAGGTATCACAGAAAACATAACTAAAAACAAATAACAGTCTTGAACGTAAAAATGTGTACACCATCGTCTAATTAATAATGTCTAGTACAGACTTCATCTTAATAGTCAAAAATAAAAATATCTCAAACAAAACAATAATTAATAATGTTCAGTACAGACTTCATCTTAATTTTTTTTTCAGAAAGTATATGTTGTTTGTTCTAATGGTCACAAATAAAAATATCTCAAACAAAACAATAAAACAAGGGGCAAGTTATTCAAGTTCATAGATAGAAAAATTAAAATTGAAGGAAAGACTTGCTTCTAGGCGTTTGGTGACATACTTTGGAATGATTGGTTTTGGTAAAACAACTTCAATATTACTTTTCTTGACAGTGCGTATGTCAGGAACATTTGGCATCACAAACGCAATACGCTTCTTAGGCTTCACAGACTTGCTCAGGTACGAAATCTCAAAATCTCCATCACAACCTCCTTCCTTAATTACCTTTCCTACAAAATACTTCTTAAATTTGACTAGAACATAATCACCTTCATTGATAGTACGCTCATCTACTTTTGGAGAATTTTCTTTCATTATCACATCATCTTCTTCTGGATTATCAATCAATAAATCATCTTCAAAGCTCAAAACTCTTTGCACTCTTGTCTTCTTCTTTCCTTCCAATTCTAGCTTGTCTTTTGATTTTCTCACTCTTCTGATCTTTTTTCCTTCCAATTCTTGCTTGTCTTTTAATTTTCTCTTCTTTGAGGTGGTTTCACTTTCCTTTTGTCTTCTTTTCTCTTCTGCTTTCGCTTTTCTCTCTTCTTGAGCATTCTTCTTCTCCAGAGTCAGTCTTTCCCTTTCTTTGATTTCATTTCTTTCGGGCGAATCTGTGGCAATCATACACTCGATGCATCCGGTCAGCAATGGCTGATCTACAGAGCGCTTGGGTACAAAGTCCGATCTACAGAGCGCTCGTCTACAATGACCGATCTACACGGAACCATTTTGAAAAGACCGATCTGTATTTCAAAGCTTTTTTGCTACCTCTGTCAATCCTAAAGTACGACTTGTAAAATTTCGGAACATTCTGTATTGGAAAATATGCTAAGCATACTTCGATATAAAGGTTAAAACAACATTTTGGACGTTGTATTTTAACTTTGACAGAGATGGAAAAATAGCTTTGAAAAACAGATCGGTCTTTTCAAAATGGTTCTATGTAGATCAGTCATTGTAGACGAGCGCTCTGTAGATCGGACTTTGTACCCAAGCGCTATGTAGATCGGCCATTGCTGACCGGATGCATCGCACTTACCCTTGGGTCTGCCTTTCCTAGTGCTTACTTGTGGTTTTGCTTTAGGATAACCTCTGATTTTTTCAGGGGTCAAAAAAGCACTAGATGTGGAGGGCTCACCAGCTTCATTACTAACATCGACATAGTCTTCATTATTTTCATTTGGATCGTCCTCTGCTTCTTCTGATGCCTCATAGTTGGTGATCAGATTTTCTGTTGCCTCATCATCGCTGTTCAGATTTGCTGATGTCGGGTTTGCTGTGTTCGGGTTTTGCAACTCAGTAACTTTGGACATAAGGAAGTCAGAGTCTTGGAACACAAATTTGTTCAAAGGAAAAATGCCAGGCTTCTGGAAACTAGCAATGATATTTGCAGGAGTGGCTGACTTGGAAAATGCCTCCTTCACAAAGCCTGCAATATGGTAAATTGTTACTGGAACAGCTGGGTTCGATACTAAAAATGAATTGATGGCAGCATCATAGTAAGTTTTGAAGGGCCCAAAAATACCGACATCAAGGGGCTGTAACCTATGAGTTGTGTGAGGTGGGAATGTGAACAGTGTCACACCATTCTCACGGCACAAATCTATTGCGGCACCAGATAAGTGTGTTCCAACATTGTCAACGAGCAGAAGAGTTGGGTTTTCTTTAGATGATCTTGTGCACTTGACAAAGTGATTAATCACATCCAAAAAAGTTGCTGTTGTCATGTAACCATTTAAGTTAGCTAGACCCAATGTTCCTGGGAAAGCATTTATAAGCATATTACTCTTGAAGAATTTTCGTGGAAAAATCATGACTGGAGGGAGCACAGACCCATGGGCACCAATTATACAACAGGTTGTGACGCTGACACCACGTTCTTGACTCTTCACCTGATGTACTTGCTTTTGTCCTTTAGGCGAAACAATTTTTCTTGCATTTTGAACGGTACTTGTAGAAGTCTCATCTAGATTGTAGACCCGGGACCCATTGGCAAATGTTGGATGTCTGCCAAGTACCGCTTCATACTTAAAATAAAATTTCTCGACTGTATCTTTATTAAAAGCAGCTGCCCTGGCAATGCTACAACCTTCAGGTTTACGAATAGAGAGCTCCTTGTGTCTTGTCATGAAACCTGAGACAAAAACAAACAAAATGTATCGACAAGTTTCAATACAAAGTTTACACCTCTGAAAGTAGAATTGAATTTATTCGCTTACCTTGGAACCAATCAAGGCCGGCTTTCTTTTCCACTGACCACTTCTCAGGCATCTGAATTTTGTTTTTATCAGCCACTTCAAATGCTAACTCTCTGACATTGTCTGTAGATAGTCCATAGCCCATTTGGGCAACTTCCAAACAATATGAAACAATGCTGTCTTCAATATCTTTGGAAAATATATGCCTTTTACCATATTTTAGTTGCACTTCTTGGGTGCATTCACTGACAGCATCTAAGTTTTTTGTTTTTTGACAGGCCTTCCATAGTGTTTGGCGGTTAATATTTTTTAACCTTGCCACAGATCTAAGAGACTGCCCTCCCCGTACCAAGTTCACAGCAGCAGATAATTTCCTTGGTGAGGTGGCCTTTCTGTCAGTCTTTTTAACATAATATCTAACCATGATTGAAAACAAACCTGAAAAACAAAAGAAATGATATGATGAATAACAAGTGCATAGTAAGCGTTTATCTGTCAAAGCTATGAAGACACAACAATCAACCAATAATTTAATGTTGCACACTCTATATCAATTCAGAAATGCCAGTAGACAAGTGTCACTATTTACCCCCGAATTAGCGTCACTATTTGCCCCATGAGACAAAGTACGCTTTAAAACTTAACCTCCTTCATTCAGGTGGACTGATACATTAAATATTTGGTCGATATAACGTATTGACATGTAAAGCAAACGGACAAATACATGATGGGCTTTCAAATATCATTAAAGACATGCTACAGGACTTCAAATATGGGAGGAAAATAAAGGTTTTACCTCTGTTCCGGGGAGGGCTATTTTCCAAAATTTGTAACGCCTTTCTCGCTTCTCTCTCGTCCGCCGCCTTCTCAAAACATCGTTCTGAACTTGAAACAAAGCTTATGAAAAATTATGAGGTCAGAAAACGCGCGGGAACAGTACAAAACACGAAGTGTCACTACTAGCCCCCTGTCACTATGTGCCCCACCCTCCCTTACGTACTGCCTCCGTCCATCGTACATAGTGGGCTGAACCAATGGTGTGTCAAAACTTGGCGTCTGAGTCGCCTCGCTCGGGAGTGCCTAAAGGCGCTACAAAATGGGGACCAAGATGGCAGCTGTTACAATGGGGGGGCCCTTACTACCCAGAAAACTAAGGTTTTAAGTTCCATTTCAACGCGGATCTGTGTCGATTCAGCCAGTGTCGGTTGCTAATCCCTTTCCAGAGACAGCCTTGGGAAGGACTGGCTTCATTTCGCGTGATCCGTCGGACACGCAATACCTCGCCCCGTCGCCGCCTCGGCGCTTCGCCCCGCCTCCTCGCCGTCGGTCTGTCTCTCTCACACCGATAGGGAGCACCCTGTGAGTGCGAGAGAGAGAGACCCCCCACTCGGAATCAGTCTACAAGAGCGCCTCCTCGGCGCTGGTGATGCGAGAAGACGGCTGCCCGGCCAGGCAGAACAAAGCTCGGGGTAATTGGAGTTCACACAGGGCGAGTCCGGTCTGTCGACGAGCCAATACTATCAACGACAACGACGGGGACGCCCGAGCTTGTTCTGTCCGAGCGACACGGATCGCCCCAAAATCGGCGGAAAATGGAGACCTCAGCTCATTTCCCCGCATTTGCACTTGCGGTGCTACTCGTGCTACTGCTGCACGTCCACTTGAAAAAAAAAGGGCTAAGTCAAATTTTTATAACCGTGTACAAATAATTGAACTTAACATGAATTTTGGATGAATTGCAGCCAAAGTTCCTTGAATTTCGATGTAAGCTCCATTAATTTTTAAAGAATTTCAACGAATTCTGACTGAATTTATTGAATTCTGACTAAATTTTAAGAATTCTGACTAAATTTCATGAATTCTGACTAAATTTCATGAATTCTGACCAAATTTCACGAATTCTGAAGCCATTTAACTACTGTTCATGAATTCAGGTGTGCAAAGCCTCTGGGATTGATTCCCCTCGACTAAGCCCAGCCAAGCCGAGCCGCGCGCTGCGCACCTAACCTAACCCGTGCCGATGCTGGCCGATGCAAACTAGCGCGCTCGCTCCTCCCGTAATGATACATCGTCACGTCGGCCGCAGACCCGCAGACTGATCCGCGGCGTCGTCGTCGTCCCGTCTGTCGCTCTCGCACTCGCGGGGCGTCCCGTAGCGGCGCGAAAGAGACAGAACCGCGGACGCCTCTCCGGAATCGCTCTGCTGGAACAACACACTGACATTTGGACGTGGCGCGGGGCGGCCGAGAGCCCCGTAGCGCGCGGCCGGCCCCGTTCAGTTAGCCGCTTGTTGCCGTCCGCAGCCAATCCCAGGCCGAGGCTCGCGCGCTGCAGAGCGAAGCAGGCTCGTCGCTCTGTCTCCCTCGCACCCTCACGGAGAGGCCCCACGAGCGCGACAGAGACAGAGAGAGTGCATCGGCGCGGCGGTGATTCCCTCCGCTTTCCGGACACTTGCTTGATATTCCCACGTTACTCCTATGCGGCGAGCAGCTGCTCTGCGAATAATGACATTCCGAGACTCTTCTCCTCTTTCCACGGACTGCCTCCGCGCCGCGCTGTCGTCGCTCTGTCTCTCTCGCTCTCGCGGGCCGTCGCTCAGGGCGTCGGAGGCACGGGGCCCTGTTCGGATTCGCTGTGCAGCCTCCCTTTTCTCCTCTTTCTCTCCTCTTTCCATCCCTCCTTCCCCGCCGTTCTTTACGTGACCCGTGCTGTAACCACGTAGCGACCGTTACGGCACCTGCCGGACCTTACACCACTTGAACCTGACCTATGCAGGGAACTAGAATGCCACACGATCGAGTCAGAAAAGGCCGGCGAGGTTGCCGTTCCTGCGGTGTTCCTACAGTGGGGCGGCGTGCGGTGCGGGGTCGCCGAGGGGCATTCGCCCGGCATTCGTGTGTATAGCGAGTGGAGTACGGAACCTGCTCTTTTATCGCGGGTGCCGAACCGGGCCGGCGTCACACAGTGGGCCAGCAGGCCGATTCCGAGAGTCGTTTTCGTCGCTCTGTCTCTCTCGCACCTACACGGGGCGCCCCATGAGTGCGAGAGAGACAGAGCGACGAAAACGATTCTCGGAATCAGCCTGCAGAAGACCGGGGGAGGCGGCCGAGCCAAAACTCTCGACGCGTTTTGAGCTCCAGAGTCGCTAAATGGGACTCGAACCGATCGTGCGATCCCACCAATGGATTGCTCTCAGATCGAGGAGTCCTATTGGTGGGGTCACACGTTTCGTTTGAGTTTTGTTTAGCTCCTCTGGACATCAAAAAGCGTCGAGAATTTCGGCCGTGTGCGCCGGTCTTCTGGCCCACTGTCACTTCAAGTTCCGGATAGACCAACTTCAATAATCCGGGACACAACGGCTGTCGGCTCGATCAAGGCCCCATGTGATCTAGTGGTTCTTAGAGATTCGCAATCTAATCATCCGTTTCTTCCCGTCCCGGGTGCAGGCTCGCCGCGGCTGGCACGCTCGGCCCGGTGGTGCCCGAGGTGGCCGCCGCCACCCCGTACCGCTTCGTGGCACTTCGTGGCCGCCGAGACGGCGAGGCCGGCGTGCCGCGCGGCGTGCCCGGAGGCGAGGCGTGGTCGGTCGGTCAGCGTCCCGCGCCGCGTCCCCGGCCGGCCGGCCGTTCGCGACACAAAGTCGGTGGACAGAAAGCCATTACAGGGATAATGAATGTCCAGCCGGCATAACGGAAAAAGCGGCAATGAGCAGCGCGAGCCGCGCAATCGAGGCGATCGCTCTGTCTCTCTCGCACCCGTACGGCACGCCCCACGAGTGCGAGAGAGACAGAGCGACGAAAACGACTCTCAGTCTGCTGAACGCCTGGCGGCAGCGCGGCGGCAGCAACGCCATCGACCACGTTCGAGCGCGGCGGAATGGCTGGGTGGAGGTCAGGGAGCCACGACAGCCCTGGGGTTTGGATGCTGCTGAGATTCAAATTTCAGATTTTTATGCAAAACAAGAAAATGATTGACTAGCGAGTTGACTAGGCGAACGAACGTTGTCGTTCAACACAGGTTGAAATATTTCATCACGAGTGCATAACCTATGTGTTTAATACATAAATTAGGAAAAAAAAATTCTAAATTGTGCTGATTTATAAAATTGTACCTCGTTGACCAAACGTATGACCCCAGCAATGGATTGCTCTTCGAACGAGGAATCAATTGGTGGGGTCACACGCTGGGTTCGAGTCCCAAGCAGGGACTCTGGAGCTCAAAACGCATCTAGAGTATTGGCCGCCGCGCCACCGGTCCTCGGCCCCTCTGCGCACCGTCGCAGAAACCGACCTCTTGGTGACCGCGGGACCGAGCCGGCGGTCCGTAGCGTACGCAGAAACACGGCAGTCGGCGCGGGGAACACAGGGACACAGGGCGCGTGATAGACCGCGGGGATGCACGCAGGCACGCTACCATCGGTGCCGTCGACAGTTATCGACGTCGATACGTCATGCGGGCGTGGAACGACTCGTGTAACGACTCGCGGAACAACAACGGAACAATGTCGTAAAGGCGGAACGCATCGCGATTTACGCCGCCAATAATTTGTGCGCGTCTCGGCAGAAGTCGCGCGTCGGGCCCGTCTCCCCAAAAAGGGGATAAAAACGGCCATCTTTCTGCGGCCATACCGATAACAAAAAAAACGGAGGAAAGTTATTTAAAAAAAAAAAAACAGTTCTAAAAGCTTTTTTTTCCGCTTAGCAACTTTCTGCAGCAGTAAATCGCGCAGCGCGCGCTAAAAAGTGTGCCAGCGACGGTTTGCGCGCCGCGAGTACGAATCAACGGCGCGAATTGGCGCTGTCTTTGAGTCTCGGCAATCCGACACGAATAACGCCTTATAAACACTTTTACGGTGGGGCCGCGGTGCATCCCGGGCAATAAAGTGCAGGCAGAGCCAGCCTCGAAATACGGTCCGCATCGGAAGAGTTCGCGCCACGGGGAATTTTTTCGTGGCAAAAATAAAAACGGCAACACGGCACACGGCAAAACGCGGACAAAGATGCAACCTTAATCCGAAGGCCACTAATAGCTAAGGAATCAAGTTATGTCACATTTTAAGGAAGGCTAGTACTTCGAGCCGAAAAATTTAGGTTGTAATTGTAAGTAACTGGTTGCAAATTTAATTTTTTTGCGGCGTAACGCTGGCAGCCGCTTGGGGAGAACAGAGCAGGCCCTTGGGGCGTTTGGTCTGGTTAGAGCACGGAAAGGTGCACGGTCGCTGCACCTGCCCGAGGTCTGAGGCCCCTGGCCGCCCCAGGCCCGAGGCGGCGCGGCAGCGAGGCGGCGGGGTCGTACTGCACTCGCTGCACTCGTCTGAACATGCCGACGTCATAAAGCAAGGCGGCTGTCTTGTCAGTGGGAGGGGGCGGCGGCCCGGCCGGCCGGGACAGGCGGCGGCTGACCACACATCTCTCTAAAGAGTATTAGACGTACGTGTTAACCGCTTACGACTGTCAGTTGTAACAACGCCCGCCCCGCCCCGCGCCGCTCGGCATGTCAGTCCTAGTCGTCACGAGGAGGGAAGGGTTTCGCGGTTCGCGTGGAGCGGCTCGGGCATCGGCTCGGCGGCGTGCAGGCCGAGGCCGTGGCCATGACCGTGGACATGACTGTGGCCCTAGACATGGCTGTGGCCGTGGACACCCTAAGAAGACTGATATGAATGAAATACAGGGCTTCGCATCGCTTCCAGGCGTACACAGCTTGGCGCTCACCGCTCACCCCATGCACATTCATTTGGACGCAAGGGCACACTGCCTAAACCATCTGTCTGAAATTATTGCCGGATTTACGATAGCGCGTTCCTCAACTTGCAGTGCAGCGGGCGCGGACTCCCGGCGAGCCACTC